CCACCCATCCATCCATCCATCCACCCACTCATCTACCCATCTAACCATCCATTCATCCACCCACCCACCCACCCACTCACCCATCCATCCACCCATCAATCCATCCATCTACCCCTCCATCTAACCATCCATCCATGCATTCGCCCATCCATCCAACCATCCATCCATCCATCCATCCATCCAACCATCCATTCATCTACCCATCCATCCATCCACCCATCCATTATCTAACATCCATCCAACCAACCACCCACCCATTTAACCATCCATTCTTCCACCCACCCATCCATCCATCCATCCATCCATCCATCCACCCATCCATCATATAACCATCCATCCATCTATCCACCCACCCACCCTGGACAGGTTGCAAGTCCAACACAGGGACACAGAGACAAATGTCCATTCACTCTCTTACTCACAGCTAGGGGCAATTTAGAGTTACCAGTTATTCTAATGCATGTCTTTGGACTGTGGGAGGAAACTGAAGTACCTGAAGAAAATCCACATGCGTGCACAAGGGAAAAGACCCAAAGCCAGGGTCTAGGACGATAGCTCTTAACACTTAGCCACAGTACATTAAAATACATTAAAACTGATCATCTATGAATTTGTAGATGCCAGTGGTAGCAAAGTCTGTTGTGCCATTAAAGTTGTAAAAATAAAGCTAAATTACAAACAAAAATGGCTAAACATTAGCCTGGTCATGATTTAGCATGGTGCTGTTTTTGTCATTTAACTTAAAGTACAATTTCTAAGAATAACTTTCTGGCCATGCACTGTGCATTATCTGAGCTTGATTTTTGAGTTTGCTATTAACCTTGAAAGCTGCACAAACTCTGCAAATGTGAATGCCAATGAAAAGAACAACCAAAACAACAACAACAACAATCCCTGAAACAACTTGAGCCGCTTTGAGGAAAATGAAATAATTTGACCCAAAAAGAGCCTTACAGTTAGGTTCAGTTCATTGACGACTTTTCCAGCAGGTTTACATTCCATCTCTGATTCTCCTGTAACAACAATCTTCGTCAGGTACAGCAGCCACTTGCCATTGGCAACCTCAAACGGCCACTGAAACTCCACAGCAAGAGTCCCCATGTCTCCCAGTGGTTGGTTTATGCCCACCTGGTGACAAAAGTAGTCAGCATAAAAAAAATAATCCAGCAAGTTGAATAAAATTATGTGGTTAAAAAAGAGACTCAAGCTAAATGATCCACCCCAGGAAGTGCTTACACCACAAGACGAGGCTTACTTGGAAACCCCACATGATATTAAACATTTTTTGGTTCAAAGACAGGGTGTGGATGAGGAAAATGTGGGTGAGTAGCACGCACACATAGATTAAATATACAGTCTTGGAAGTGACTCACATTGAAGGTGAACTCCACCAGACTGCCCACGTCACTGGTGTTCTTCATAGCAAACTCGCCCTTCACTGTCCCACCAAATGTTGTTTGCTTTAAATGATTTTTACTGGAAAAGGGCAAGAGTTAGATATGACATTTCATGCGAGTCATAACTTGAGTAAAAATAAAAAAAGCAAAGCAAAACTACGAGAAGTATAATATGATGTAACACTTTAGTTATCGCCTGCCACCAAAAGCAAAAATGGAAAGGATGCTGTCCAAGTTTCTTTTTCGACGCGTGTGTCTGTCTACAACTGATTAACATCTGGAGTCAAGCCAGTTCAAGATGGTCATCATAGATAAGCAACTTTAACAACCACATAAATCAGTTAATTTTATAGGTATTTAGCTCAATTTTGGTTTTATTAAGCATAATCCACAACACATGCTCCAAGCACTTCACATTACATTCATACTACTGTTTATATTACACTACTGTTGATATTTTTTTTACTAGCCTTATTGCATATGTCACTTTACCTATACCAATATCAAGACTTCATACATATACTGTGTACATTCACTTCATATGCTGCTTTGTCACTTTACTACAAAATGTCCATGTCAGGACCTTCATTTTATTTTATAGATATACTTTTTTAATATATTTTTATGCTGCTATACTACAATTTAGGACAGTATCATACTTTTATTATTTCATTTTATGCTTACGTTTATTAAATGTCTTAATGTTTAATGGTTATTGTTACACCAGGGGTCTGAGAGTAATGCAATTTCAATCTTGTGTATGTTCATTCAACCTTTATTTAGACAGTCCTGTATGTCCTGTACATATTGCACTTTTGACAATAAAGTTGACTTTGACTTGCACAAGTACCTTCTATACAATATCTGTTCCTTCAAGGAATGCTATGCGTTTCAATTTTTCAAGGTTTATTTTCTGTTCTGCACAGCACATGACAAGCTGTTGGACTCACATGGTAAAGGTGGGTGAAATGGTGCTTTCGATCAGCATGGCCAACGACACAGGCTGCAGGTCACTCTGCTCACTAACACTGTAGAAATCAACGTTATTACCAAAATGCATATTTAGTTAAAAGACACACGTTACAATAGCAATTATTGAAGCTCTGACCTAAAATTATTTCCTAAATGTTGAAAATTGTTCCTACATACACAGAAGGCATACGTACAGCTGCTAATACTTTAGTAAAATAAATAAATAAATAAAAAATAAATAAATAAATTATATGTATATATATATATATATAAAGCAATAAGCCCTTACGTTGACAGAATCAGCTGAGCTTCTATTTGCTTTGTGTTCAGGTCAATGTCGTAGGTCTCAAACACTATCTGCAAAGACACCTAACAAAGAGCAAAGGAAGTTAGATGTGCTGCAAACCATTCAGAAGAGGTTATATATCCAAAATCCTCTGCACGTTTACCTTTTCGTTGCCTTTAAGTGGATTCCCCAACTCACAAATGACTGTATGATCAACGCTGCATTCTATGCCCTGCACACAAAAACACATGAAAAGCGACACCAACCAATCAGTTTTACTATATATGGTTTAATTATGGGAAACTTCCTGCCATTAAAGTTAATACTTTTACATTTTTATAGTTAACCTTATAGAAAATGGTGTATTTCTGAGCTATATCTTGAAAATATCCCACTCTGAAAACAATTAATGGAGTCCTCAGTCATCTGCTACCCCCTAGTGGACATACATCTTTTTTGACTGAAGAGTATTTCAAGGCATCAGAGAAGGAGATGTTGAGCATCGTCTGGTGGGCGTCCTCCGCCAGCCTCCCAGGAGAAGGAAAGTTGGTCACATCCACCAACACGCTTATTTTCTTCACACCGCTGTTGTACTGGAGCACTTGAATGTTGTTCTTCCTAAACACAAGTATTGTTTTGTAACTATAATTAACAGCTTATTGTTTACTTTGTCATTACAATACCGATATGAAAGTACTGTGCATCGGTACACAGGCTCATTCATAGTGGTAAAACTATTCTCCTGCTTGTTTCAAAATAAAAAGCGAAAATTACAGCACTTTTAATTGGTTCAAGGTTTTGTTCGACAGGTAAGTTCCAACGTTCCAAATGTGAAAACACGTCTCAGATTTGTGTAATTTCACCTGGGATAAAGATTTCCCTCAATATCAGCAAACTGAGCCGTCATCTGCAGGTTACTGGAGCATTTGTTGTCTAAGCCGCACTCCTTCTGAAAGTTTATCTGCAAGATAAGAAACAATTTACCGATGGTACGACGCGGCACACATCACAGCTTCCAGGTTGTTTCATTGCAGTGTTTGCACTGCTCTGTACCTCTGCTCTTTGAGTGAGTTTCTGCTCCTGACTCAGAATTGGGAAGGAGTCCAGGTTCTGCAGGGCGAGTCTGTTTTTCACAATTGGTTCTTGTAGCAACATGCTGACAGAGAACACCACCGGTTCCAGTTTATCTCTCACAGGTGTCTGTTAATTCACCCAAGAACGTTGTTTTATTCTAAATGGCTACACAACTGATCGGTAGAAGCTCATAAAGGGCAACAAATAAACATCCATATGAAAACATTTTTTTATATATCTTTGACCTTACCACCACTTTCAGTTTTAGAGTATGGCAGATGGATTTAGAGGATGGTAGGTTCATAGAACCAACATACGTATTGTCACCGTCTTGGAAACAAACACGATGGCTTCTTATTCTCTCCACGTCAGCCTTCACAGTGTACACCACAGCTTCCCAAAGAGAAAACAACAAAATAATAATAATAATAATCTCAGAACAATTTACGTGTTCATAAAAATGCCATTTTGACAAAATGACAGATTGATGTCTGTGAGCAACCATTTTAATTTGAAAGATGAAAATATTTATCGGCACTGCATGTAAAAAACAGCTTACTGATATTTTTCTTGAAGTCTTTGTTCCCATTGCTTAGCGTGAACGACATGCATACGGTGACGGTGATGCTGGGAACGACAAAGACAGATCAGATCATCTGTAAACAAAACTGAGAAATTCAGTTTCAGATTTTTCAGCTTCAGACAAATTATGAAACTTTTTTTGTTTTTTACCATGGATTATTTGGAAGACACTGATTGGGATCCACAATCTTGGGCTCAGCTGTGAAGGTTTTAGTTACGTGAATGACCGGCCGGGCTCTGAAAACAAAGATGAACGCATGCTTAAAGCTTTAAACTTGGACATTCATCTGTTCCAGAATGTAGAAAGAGACCCTCTAAGATGTAGACATAACACTGGATGAAAAAGTGCCATTGATTTTTCACAAATATGACTGATTTTATTATTTATACCTTAGAAGGGCTATATGGTCATCCAGAGAGCCAACTAGGATGTCAGGGTAGCTGCTGTCATCCATGTCTATTCCTCCACTAATGGAGTAGCCAAAGGTCTGGAACAGCCCATTTCCTACTGACTTACCGTCAATCACCTGTAGAGAGCAGCAGTTACTTATTGTTTCCTAACAGTGCTTCAGATAAAACTCAAACTATTACAGATTTTCTGATTGTTCTTACCTGACTGGGCTCTGGTGAAATTCCCTTTTTACTTCCCGACCAAATGTAGACCTTTCCTGTTTCATGGAATGGTGCTCCTACTGCAAAATCTACAGACAGAGAAAACAGAGAAACATCTTAAAGGTAAGCTACTGATGATGAACAGTCTACTTTACATTATTATTTCAGCTGCTTCCTTTAGAGGTTATCCCAATGAATTATCTGCCTGTATCTCGCCCTATCACTAGAATGCTTCTCTATACGTCTGTAAATCACTACATCCATGAACCTTCTTTTTGGTACTCCTCTGTCCTTCCTCCCTGGAAACATCATATTCAACATCCTTTGGCTAGTACCATATTTTTCGGACTATAAGTCGCTGTTTTTGCCATAGTTTTACCAGTCCTTCGACTTATAGTCTGAAACGACTTATATGTGTGTTTTTTGTCCATATTCATGACGCAATTTTTGACCGATGCTTTAAATGTTCATTCACACTGACATGAACCAGAGTAAACATTACCAGTTGCAGCCACTAGAGGAGCAATAGGGCCCTCTAGGCTTTTGACAACTACCAGTAGGCTTACGTATATGTTGTTACTGTACGATAAGCCGCCCTCCCGCCAAACATTCACTAAGCGGGTACAGAGAAGACAACAGAGTAAAAGCGTAACGGAAGTAAAATGCCACCAAAAAGAAGATCCTATTCTGCTGATTATAAGTGTGTGTGTCCGCTGACGCAGCGGCTGATTCCAGTTGGGCGTGGATGGATCGCTGGCAGCGGTCCAGCTGAAGCTTACCTGAACTTTTTTTACCTCCTTCAACCGGCCAGTCAGCGTGCGGTCAAATGGCCGTGCACAGCTGGTGATCCAAATTGGATTGTCACCCATGCATGTCCGCTGACGCAATGAAAAGCCCAACACCAACCTAGCCCGCCCATCCAGCACATTATTTTGGCCCAGTCCGGCCAGACCTTGGGTCCGAGTTAGAAATGACAGCTCTATTTCAGAATAAATGTGACGTGGGGACAAGGGGCAGATATTATAAGAACTCATTCTTCTTCTGGTGCCTTTCATTTTATTTCTGTGATTGTATATCTTTTTTCTTTTCTTTAAATTGTATTATATTTGTTGTTTGGATGAAATGAAATGAATAAATAAAACATACATACACACATGTACTCAGAAGCGACAAATATATGTTTTTTTTCCTCTTCATGATGCTTTTTTGACTGATGCGACTCATACTCAGGAGCAACTTATAGTCCGAAAAAACGGTAAATCCAAAATCCCTCCTCTTCACATGTCCAAATCATCTCGCTCACATTCACACAGCACATCTCAACCTCCCCAGGCTCTCTTCCGCCTGCTCCCTACTCTAGCTGCAGATCACATTTCCATAAGCAAAGTCCATATTTGTCTATTTATCCCTCATAAAGCCAAGAGTGTGGAGAAAGTGGCACAAGACTTTGTCCAGGCTAGGTGAACAGCTAGACAAATGAGGAACTGTTTTTCAGACTTATTAAACAACTTTCTCAGAAACAGCATACCAATGAGGAATAATGCTACATTAACTAATATTAAACTTTTATACGTTTGCAACGTCTATGCTATTTTGCAAATGCATGTGTGCTGAGCATAGACTGTGAATATACTGTAATTTCTGGACTATTGAGCGCAAATGAATATAAGCCGCACCCGCTAAATTTAAAAAGAAAATTTAAAAAATGTACATAAATAGGCTGCACTTGTCTATAATATGTCATGTGACAAAAAATAGCAGGTATATGTCAGGTCTCTCTTGTAAATGAGTCCTCGTGGCTCAATGGGACTAACCTGTTTAAATAAAGGTTGAATGTATATGCCATGGGTGTTCATGTTGTAACTTGAGATATTTACACAGAAATAATTTTTTTCACGTTTAATTAAATACGTACCGGTAACACACACAAATGATGAACTATCATTTTTATTTTTCTTAACAGTGCCTGTAACACGGCTGATTAAAACAAAAATACAGTAATCTACCAGGAAGTCATTCATCACTACCCTGCAAGAGAGATGTGTATTGGGCAGCTATGTGAGTGCATGGGTGTGACAAAGTTAATGGTTTGGTGGCATGAAGCTGGTTAGCCAGTCAAAAAAAAAAAAATCCATAAATTTGCTGCAGCATTGTATAAGACGCGGTGTTCAAAGTGTGTGAAAAAAGTAATGGCTTATAGTCCAGAAATTACGGTACTTATAGAGCTAGGAGGCTGATGAATGGATCAGTCTGACGGGAGTTGAGTAAACTTTGACCAGACTGACCAGACGCAGCAATGACAACTTTCTACATCACGTTTAAGTTTAAAACAAATGTTGAGTTCAGAGTCACACCTTGGAATCCATCCTGGTTGACATCACCGATGGCAGCAATTGCAAAGCCAAACGCAGAAGAAGGTGGACCCTTCAGCACCACGGTGGCTGTATTTTGGAAGGATCCGTTTTCATTCATGAAAATGTACACAGCTCCTTCCTGATCCTTACTGCGATCAAAGTAAAAAGGGGCGCCCACGATCAAGTCGTTCCAGCTGGGATAGAGGAAAGCACATTCATTATAGGTTTAAGTATACTTAAAATATGTACCAAATACACACATTTTTCAAAATAAACAAGCTAGATATACTGTAACTCAAATTATTTACTTTGTATCAGTAGATAATTGGAATAAATTCAGCTTTATTTGCTCAGATTGGGAGTATCAGATCTAAACATCATGATAAACTTCCCAAAATCACAATATCTGTATGGAAACGCACTCGTCATTGTTGAGGTCAGTGGCAGCCAAGCAGCTGCCAAAGTACGAGCCCACTTGTTCACCGAGGATGGTTTTTACATGTTTCAAAACATTCTGATTTGCAGTTTTTGCTCCAAACAACACCGCGCCTTTGGACTCGTCCCTCGGAGCCCCCGTCAGCACTGTGTAGTCGGTGTGGCTCAGCAGCTTCTGCTCTTCAAGAGTGGAATAACCTGTGGACAGAAACGTTCAAGAATACATTCTCATACTGTAAAATTTCATCAATCGCAGCTTAGATCAAACCTCTTTTTATAAGAAACTGTCTAACCATGTGCGGGCTATGATATTTTGTAAAAATGATTAAATATTCACCAATATAACTGTCTCGATTTTTTAAAATTCCAAACTCTTTATGATTAGAGTCCCAGGAGTACAATGGATCTGGATTTCTCCAGGTTACGTGAACGTTTCCTGCAAGACAAAGCAAAAACACGGTTTCAAAATCAGTTTCTTAAACACTGCACGGGTTTTGTCACAGCCAATAATCACTGTGTGAGACCAAGGCCAAATCCCTCTACACCTACTTCTTATCGCTGAACATTTGTTCAAAGTCAAAAAGGCCAATTGTTCCCTTCAGAAAGCCAACACACCAGAGGAGGACAAATACTAGTTTCAAAGTGCCACAGAAATACTGGGGCTCTTGAGGAGGGTTAAACTCATTCTGCCAAATAAAAAAATTATTAGCTCTAAATGTGATTTTCATTAGCTGGAATTGGACCACAAAAAATCTGAATCAGTCTGTTTGAGAATTTTAAGTTTATATTCATAATTACTGTAAACGACAGTCACAAAATATATATATATATACCGGCTCCTGACTGCTTGATGTCTGGATGTATAAATCTTGGTGATGAGGTCTTGTTGATTTACAGTTTGAACAGCAAATATTCAGATGTATCTCCACTCTGAGTTTCTCTGAATCTTTAGTTTAATAACACCAGTTGTAATCAAGAAGAAGTGAGCTTACTGACAATGATCAAACTAATTAAAATATTAGGTAAATGAGAATTTAAAAGTTCAAATGTTGTTAAAAACTTGATGTTTTTACTTTTATCTTTCATTTATTATAAACCCAATTTGGAGATTGTAAACTGTAAACTGAGATTCAGCCTAACTCAGTTCATTTATTAAAGAAAAACTCACAAGTTCATTTAAAAATCGAAGTTTTAGTTCCTACCTTGCCACCTGTAGCTTCCCGTAGAGCCGATGTAGACGTCAGTGTCCGTCAGGCCAGCTGAGATGCCCATGTTGCATAAGCCCTCCCCCTCCATATCATTATTGGGGTTACAGACTTCATACGTATCAGTTTGCCACTCATCACTGATGTCATAGGTCAGGTCGTTACTTCTCACGAAACACTTTCCTATCATCCGCCTCTGCTCCTCTGTGCCTCCTTGGGGGATCTTCACGTACCGATGCCCACATGCCTGATCACCACAGAAGAGTACAGATCTAGAGACTGAGCAGTTTAACATTTACTGAAACTAAAGCATGTCTGTGTTAAAAAATACATATACACATTTATTATTAACCTTTATTTAACCAGACAAATCCCACTGAGATCACAGATCTTTTTTGCAAGGGAGGCCTGGACCTGAAGGCAGCCTAACATACTTGTTTTTAGTCTGTGGTCTATTTATAATAAAATTAAATATAAATACACTGCTTAAAAGGTTTAAAACCAACAAATAGGTCAAAACCTGTGCAAAATGCTCTTGCTTTATGAAATACACTATGCAAGCATCATTGCTTGAAGGTATGTGTGTCATTGTAAAGTCTTATTTAACAACAGAATCTCAGCTCTTGTTTGAAAAATAATTAAAGCAGTATCATATTTTTGCACCCGGCTGCTGTTAAATGAAAAAAGGTACACTGTCATGTGTGACACTAAAGAATTACATAAATTGTAACAGTATCGTCTGACTGGTATCATCTTAATGCTGCCGTGTGTCACATGAAATGCAGTGTTGTCTCACCAAGACGCGTCCGTCTGGATGACCCCTCTGACTGGCCACCGTCACGCCCAACCACATGCCTTCCACTATCTCAGATGAACTCACTGTGGATGAATCAAATGAACTGGGCGTTAACGCAAAAGTCAGAAATCATTAACAAATTGTTGTTAAACCTGTGCTTCAAAGCAAACATTGTTACATTGTCTGGTCTCTTTCAATTATTATTATCATTATTATTATTATTAATATTAACACCCACCGCCGAAAGGCAGGTGTAAATGTTGTGTGTTTGCTTGTTGTTGTGTTAGAAGAAATAAAAACAGAGGGTGTATTTTAATAAAACTTGATCAATGTACAATGCAATCGGGCCTAAAAACCCAGACAAGCCTGTAGGGTTTTTTTTTTTTCTGAACACGACCCGATCATTTAATTGTAATTACAGGCCCGAACCTGAAAATAAATAAATATATAAATTATTAAGCTTTTACTGCTTGTGTAAGCAAATCAGTTTGACATGATCTTTATAAAACGTATTTGAAAGAAATTAAGATATAAGATTTCTTGTTTCACCAAATGGATATTAACATATAAAACAAATAGTCTAAAAAAATATCACCTCTTAAGAAAGGTTATTATACAGATGAACAAAAATATTTTTAGAGCAAAAATTATTTGGAAAAATATAGAACAAGATTATTTTAATTGAACGCGCTGCTCGCTTCGGCTTTTGTAGATGCTGCTACTTCCTTCACTGCAGATGACAGCAGGTGTGGAGACGCGCGCGGCCGATGATCCATCTGAGCTTAACAGAACATTTTTTTACCTCTTTTGACCAAACGGTTAGACCCGTCTCCTCCTCAACAAGTAGATTAACACAATTTTATATTGTGCATTATTACTTAGTTTTCTTTGTGCTGTATGATTCGTAAAACCGTATCAAAAGCCCAACATCGACGCAGACTGCTCATCAAGCACATTATTTGGGCCCGACCCAGCCCGAATTTTGGGTGGGGCCGGGCCCTGGTTAGAAATCTCACCGGAGGACACTGGCTGATTATTACATCCTTATCAGAACTCTTACAGTGCCTCCGAGAGCATCTATGGACATCCAATCCAATCCTAAAATCCAATCCTAAAAAGTTTCAGAAAATTGCAGATTTAAATCAGACACCTAATTCATTATTAGCCCCTGCTTTTGTAAACTTTTATTTAGAAATGTGTCTTAAATTACATTTTTTTTAAATATGTTTTTTCTTTGCCTGCTAATATAGTGTTTCATAAACTTAACAAATTTAGCTAAACGTTCAAGTTAAATTATAAAGGTGCCTTCTATAATTAAAAAATTGACAAAGAATTCAGGCTTTAAAATGTACAGTATTTATTAACACAAATACCTGAAAGTATGCAGCTTAGTTGTTCTGTTACAGCACACTAAGGCTATTTTCTGAATTTGTTGCTTTTTTCTCAGCAATCTAGTGACGTAGGAGCTGAAAGACCTCTATATATGCTGTACTGTAAGCATTCATATTGAGCAAGATCTTTGAAAAAGACTTTGCTGTTATAACTATTGGAGGTCATTCAAGATGGCCTCCACTGCCAACTGACATTTGCAGTTTGCTTTTAACCTACAACCAGTTTACCACCGCCCAAAGCTAACCGTGCAAGAACTAATTAGTTGCCAGAACAAGCGTTAAAGCTACCTGCAGAAAAATCAGATCAAACCTTAAAAGTCTCAAATTTTTAAATCAGACTATATAGATTAAGTAGTCTCCGTTTTAAAATTAAAACATACAATATTTGGCCTCTAAAAGGCCACATTAGAAAAATTATGTTTTTCCTTTAAAAACAAAACATTTGAATTTTTCCAATGCATGACGAAAACTTGATAAAGAAAAATATTAAAACTGGGTTTCTTTTTCAGAAAATAGATCCTGTCTAACTCTGAATGCTAGGAAACACCTTGTAACAGCAACTATCCTTCCCTCCATTGATTACGGTGACATTATTTGCATGAATGCTCCTGCAAGCACCCTGCAGATGTTGGACACTGTCTATCACGGTGCACTAATCATAACTTGCTGTAACTACTGCATCCACCACTGCACCCTGTATTCACTGGTTAACTGGAATAATTAACTTCACGTAGACTCTCCCACTGGTACATTTTCATCTTTAAATCACTTCTTAGTCTGTTGCCTTCATTTATCTCCTCCTACATGTCACTTCTCCAGTGCAGCTACAGCGTGCGCTCTCAAGACATCATTACCTGCAGCGTCCCATCAGTGTGGACTGAACTTGAACTTAGAAAAGTTGTGTGTACCGGTACCTTATCTGTGGTTTGGCTAAAACAGGTCTCTCTTGAAAACGAGTCTGAAATATATTTCTATCAGTATTATATTTTATGTTACTGAAAGTTGTGTACACCTACAGTCTCCAGTGTAAATGCATATTAAGCCAATGCAGAACCTTTATTTCCGGGTTTTTGTTTCCAGTAGGAAGGAGTTTTAGTTACACGCCTGCACTCTGCAACAACTTGACATTTGATTGTTGACATCGAGGATGGAAGTATTACTGGCTGAGAGGATGGTCACGTGGTAAGAGTAGGCTGTCCTATGAGCGGAGATGACGACACCAACGGGTGTGACCAGTTTCTGAAGAAAAGTGTGTTAACGGGGTCTGTTCAGGTGAAATGGACAGACGTCATGTGCGTTTGTGATTTTCACTTATCTGTACAATAAACCTGCAATAATGCTGTGCACATTTGTTTCAGAGTCTGCTTCACACCTTTGCATAACGTAGCAAGTCCTCGTGACTCAATGAGACTAACCTGTATTAAAAAAGGCTGAATGGAAAAAAAAAAAGTCTAACTCAACTGGTTCATGTATCGAGACCAAACTAGACGAACGGACTAATCTCTGCTGCATTCAAGAGAGAATATAAAAGAGCCGTGCATGACGCTTACTTGTGCTGACCAGATCCATCCTGGAGCAGTCTGCAGGGTCTGTGGTGATGGGACAGGAGTAAACTGCACCTGTTTCATTGACATGTTGTAGAGAAACGGCTCTTTCTTTGGGTGCTCCTGCAAGAAGCCTGCACACAGACAGACAGAAAGAGGAATAACACTTGAGATAATATCGGCGATGTTGATAGAAGACACAAGGCAGAGACAGTCTCATCATTAAAGATGACCTGAGTGATTATCTTTGTAGTCTAAACACAGGAAACACATCCTGCTCATGTTCTGCACATTTTATGATCACCTTCTTTTTCTCCCATACAGCAGTGAATACTGAACCTGAGTAAAAGACACGGAGTGTTCGTTTAGTTTGAACAACAAAAAATAAATCTTGGCTGCGTGACCTTTAAAATATATTAAAAAAAGAGAGTGAAGCAGTCAGAGCTTGACCTATAACAAGTCTGGGCACCAAACACACACACAAACCAGCTCTGCAGTGATGGATCCACACACACATGGACACTCCCTACATCAGAACCTTTTAACACAGCAGTGAACTTTGAAACCAGAAGACTGCTCCTCTCTGAGCCAACACGCTGTTTAACGTAAGCACAAGATTTATTTGTGCACTCTGTAGGTGAAAGGTGTGGGTAATCTTGTTTCCAGTGAGTGTGTTGCTGATATACGACCTGCATTACTGTGGGCAGAAACAGAGGCACAATGGTGGAGCTTTTACTTTGCAATGTTGCGTTTGTCCTCATCTATTTATTCTGAATCTGTCGACTCTATGCGCACTTTAAAATAAAATAAAAAGGTAATTTGTGTGTGATTAAAAATAAAGACATGGATAGTAATGTTTAAAAAAGAACATTACTGTATATTTAGGTGAAACATTTATTAAACCTAAGGAAACATCCCTCGTCCTGAGGTGTAACACATGAAAGATGTTAAACTACAGTGTCTGAAGATGAAATGCAAAATGGCTGCTGGGTAAAAAAAACAAACAAAAAAAAAAACAGTTTCTTACTCGGTGAGACCATGACTTTTCGCCTCCACCTGTGATTTCTTGAATCATATGTGTCTTTTTGGTGACAAAGTGCCCCCATTTATATTTGCAATCTTATCTAGAGCACATTACAAGAAGCTAGACGATGTTTTGACTTTGTCACCTGAACAGACAAACTGTGTCTTTACACAGAGATCAGTCATGTGTGTTGGCTTCCACCGCTGATTTTAGATCAGATTACTGTTTATATTAGATTAAAAACCTTAAAAAGACAGTTCAGCTCTTCTGAGGTGGGGTCGTGCGTAAAGGTTATGAACAATTATTATCTTACCTGCTGTAGATAGCTCTTTGAACAGCCTCAGTTTGGAGAACAACGTTTGTTTGTTTATTTATTTATTTATTGGCTTGAAAAGCTAACAGCTAGTCCAAGCGAGGCCAAAACCAAAGTGGACTGTTGATATTCCAGTATGACTCCAATGTAAAAAAATGTCCTTGCGGGTCTAAAGAATTACGGTATTTTTTGCTGTATAAGTCACAGTGTTTTGCATAAATCAGCATGCCTGTGACTTATACAGCAAAGTGATGTATTTATGTATTTTCCCCATATTTTTAACCAAATTATTTTTGGCTGACATCTGATGATTTCATTCATTCTGACATGGAAAATATTGAACACTACCATTTTCAGCCACTAGAGGGCTCTCGACTAATGTTCAAGCCAAGTGTCTAATTAATAGGTAAAAGTGACTATTAATGAGACACTTGGCTTGCCATACCAAGCCACCTTTGTCTCGCTTCGGATCTCCTGGAGCAAACATCAAATCAGCTGCATTTTACCACGCCGCCCAGACGAAATGCAGCTGATTTGACCAATAAAGTGCATTTATTAAGAGAAAGTTCAACTGAGACACACCTTTGCTATACTTAATACTTAATAACAAACGCATAACAGATGTGACTTATACGGCAAAGCAACTAATTTCTGTTTTTTCCCCCCACTTTATTAGACATTTTTGGACTGATGCGACTCATACAACGATGTGATGTGTACGGTGGCAAGTACGGTAAATTACTGCTGTCAGTTTTGCAGTAAACTGTAGTTTATATTGAATTATATGGTTATTTTCAAGCGATAACAGTGGCAGCAGCTAGTTGTATGAGCCTTGAGCACTTCTATCGCTACCAAAATAATCACGTAATCAAAACTGATGCAAAGTGAAGGTTTATAAAGAATGTGTTGCACAAACTGTTATGAGTTATTTTAGATTAGAGTCATTTCAAGACAACAACAATCCACTTTGGTCTTGACCCTGTTTGGATTAACAGTTACTGCAACAATTTTTGTCAGATATGATCAATGTCTGAAAGTTTGATAAGCTAAGTAAATACATTATAAAGAAGTCTTTTCTACATTTCATGTCTGTTTTATTTATTATTTGCTACCAAAATATTCAATTTTTATTATTATTATTGTAAATATTATTAAGTGGGGTGGGTGTGGCTGAGTGGTTAGAGCAGTCGTCCTCCAACGGGAAATTTGGGGGTTTGATTCCACCAGCAGTCACATGTTGAATTGTCCCTGGACAAGACACTAAACTTCTCATTGCCTCCTATGTGTGTCTCATTAGTTTATGAATGTGATCTAAACTATTGATTATTATTTGTAAATATATAGTAGAGTGCTGTATGAATGGGTAAATGAGGACACAGACTGTGATGTAATGCACTTTGAATATAATGATAAGATAAAAAGGCACCGTGTAATTACAATCCATTTAATTTCACTCAGTTATTTCCTTTCATGCAGCTTTAAACTTTATTTCTCCAAACAGTGGTTGTTCAAAGAACTGTATGTAACATTTAAGACATTATTGGTTTGTAACTTTTCTATAAAACCCAACGAAGTTAAGTTAGGTCCTCTGGACGGTTTCTTTTTGTTGAAACGTTTCGTCTTTCACTCAAAATACTTCATCAGTTCGATAAAACACAATAAACTCAGTCTCGTAGGGAGAGGATGGACTCCAGAAACCATCTGAGCACCATCAAACTGGTTGACCCACTATGTGAAGGTGCCATTTATAAGACTGAGTTTGTTGTGGCTCCTCAGACTGATGAAGTCCTTTGGATGAAAGATGAAATGTTTCAACAAAAAGAATCCGTATAGAAGACCTGACTTACGATGTTGGATTTTTCTACCTGGAATATTAAGCATGCATCAGGATATTTTCTATAAAACCTCACTTTGGATCATAAAAAGTATTTCTTTAAAGTGTTTTTTTTTTTTTTTTTTACAAATTATATCCTGATGCATGCTCAATAATCCAGGTAGAAAAATCCAACAAAGTTAAGTCAGGTCCTCTGGATGGATAAAAAAAACAATAATAACTTGTTGAAACGTTTCTTCTTTAATTCATTTTGGATTAATGACAAAACATTTCAACAAGTTTTTATTTTTATTTTTTAATCTGTCCAGAGGACCTGACTTAACTTTGTTGGATATATCCTGATTACTTGACAATAAAGAGTCCTGATAAAAAAAAGTATTGTTGTCTGGACTACAGCCAAATTAAATGACTTTTTTGGTTCAGATTAAAGTACAATGAACATAACTTTGTCATTTAAAACTAAATGTTTTTCCTTTATGCTGCAACCAAAACTTATGTCAGCAAAAACTTATCTCATTCATAGTTTCCAGTTTCCCAACTGAACGGAAGAGCGCTCACTTTCTGTACATGCATATGTTTGCATTTGTCTTCCTATGCATGCGTCAAAAAAAGTTAAACTTATGAAAAACAAAATGTGGTTAAATAAACTGAACCATTTGGCTTCTGTCCTTTTCTGACTGGTAAATTGAACAATCACCTAAAAATGTGTTTTTCAGTTGGAAGCAGCACACAGTGTATCAAAACACTGCGTTCCAAGTATCCTGATGCATGCTCAATGCGTTCCAAGGTTTGGGAGTTTTGTGGGAAAACTGTTGCACAGTGTCTTGTGGAAGACTGACCAGAACTTTAGGGAAAAAATAAGAGACTTTAAAAAAGCTTTGAGGCCAGTATTATGAACCAAACAGAAAGGTAAAAGAACTGGAGCACGCTTGGATAATCTGGACTGCGACAGAGCTGGTTGCAACCAAGCAGACATGTTAATCCAACTTTATAAACACATTTAAAGGGACATTTTAAAAATGCAATTATGTAAAGTAGTTATGAGCAGTCAATGCAGCAGATAGTTTTCTGAGCACTCTTGGTTTAAAGGAGTGAGCAAGTTTTATGAAGGGGAAGCCGAACTAACCGACAGAAAAGCAAAGCAAAGTTTACATTTACAGTAAAGCACCTTACTTCTTAACAGTGACTGTTTACACTGTGACACTTTTGTATCAGATAAGTATTAACATTAAAGATCATCCATGTTGCAACACGATTAGTCGTCTCCTCAAAATGTTCACTGTGTTGCACAATTGATCATTTTACACAGATCAGTCAAAATAACTGATGCACACATGTATGGTGTAAAATAAATATATAACAACAAGACATGCTCGATAATCCAGTAAAAAAAATCCAACAATGTTCAGTCAGGTCATCTGGACAGTTTCTGATTTTTTTTTTTTTTTTTTTACTGAGACGTTTCATCCTTCATCCAGAGGACTTCTTCAATCTGAGGAGCCACCAAACAAACTGATTCTCACAAACGGCGTACTCCATAGTGGAAAAAAAAAAGTTTGCTGGTGCTAAGATGGCCTCCGAGACCCACCCTCTCCCCCGTCAACTCCTCTGAGACAGTCATGCGAAAGTGGTTCAAAACATCAAAGTTCATGCTCAATAGTAAAAATCCAACAATGTTCAGTCAAGTCATTTGGATGTTTTTTTTTTTTTTTTTTTGGAGACATTTTGTCCTTCATCCAAAGGACTTCTTCAATCTGAGGAGCCACCAAACAAACTGATTCCCACAAACAGCACTCCATGGTGGAAAAAACTAGTTTGCTGGTGCTACAACAGTCAAAATTGTTTTATTTGGCGGTTCCTTAGATTGAAGAAGTCCTTTGGATGAAGGATGAAATGTCTCAGAAAAAAAAAAAAGAAACTATCCAGATGACCTGACTGAGCATTGTTAGATTTTATACATGGA